GATGTTGGGGCCGCGCTGAGTGTGGGGCGCAATGGCCGAGGAGCCGGCCCCCTCGATCCTCCGGCCACGCCTGCCCCCCCCCCCCATGGCTCCTCCGGCCGTGCTGCCCCCAGTGCCGGCCCAGCAGGCGCCGCTTTTGGAAAATGTGCTGAGGGGAAGTGGCTGCTTCCCCTGCACCCCACTAGCTACGCTACTGGGCAGGAGATGCGACAGGATTCTCTATTGGGTTTATTCTCCTCCACGGTAAAGTCTCCCTCGTTGTTCTACAGTTTCAAATATCCAGACAATTTCTTTAACAACCCAGATTTCTTTCCAGTTTGTGGTAATTGATTCCCCTGGTCACACAAGGTTTTCATGAATGGTGATTTTAGTTTTTGCATCATGGTGTGTAGAGCAGCTGGTGTGGTAGAATCCCAAGGTTTGCCAAAGAGTTGTTACATTTTAATTCAAGCCTTTGTCTTTGCAGAACAGCTTCCTTGTTGAGGTCCTGGTGCTTTCAAATAATACGACTGAACTACCCTTCGTTTTAGAGTCCATTACAGCTGCATCCTACACGATGTACATAGTGTTATTCTTTTGTCCTTCCATCGCATGTGAATGTGCATTTGACAGTATTAGGTGCACTCCACATCGGAGCACCAGCCTCTTCTTGCTTTGTCTTATGTCACTGCTAGAAATAGTGAAACTCCTATTCAGTTGGTCTGCACTGCCATCCTGAGACACTAGGACGCTTTTCTGAAGTATTGGGGGTTAGCCGTGGTACCATTTGTGACTGAGACGATCTTGCATTCAGGCCCTGGCAGGTTATGCATTAGCTTTGCAATTGTCTGAAAGCAGAGCTTCCAAAGTGGTGCACAGCCTGGCCGTGGTGTGGAATATTCTAGCCCTGCACTGGAGTGCTATGGGAGATAGCCCAGCTGGTAGACGTCTGTGAGTATCAAATTGCCATTCAGGAATTAGTGTGAGTAGTGAGGGAATGTCATGCCAAATAAACTTTTTTGGGGTCGGTAATGTTAGGTTACGCTTTTACCCAATAAATATCTGTTATGCAGCTGCCTACTTGGTGTGAGTTCCTGTTGCAATAAGATACCGCTGTAATTCTGCCAATAATAGCTTTTAAACTTCTCTGGATTTTTTTGAAGCTGTACAATGCCTTCCCATTCCTCATGGAAATCGGCCCAGGGCAACATCAGAGGATTTCCTGTAACTGGGAGGCGATCAAGCAGTTTGTGAGGGAACAGATCAGCTGCCACTTGGAGAGTGATGACCTAGAGGAGCCGCTCGATTTCATGGACTGCTGAATGAAATAGATCATCTCACGCTGGTAAATAGGAGAGCTTTCACCCTAGAGACTGCCAGGACTGGAACAGCTGATGACATTGACAAGGCTGGCAGTGCTGGACCTACCACCTGTAACTTCTGGGGAGAAAATTAAGGACAAGATTGAGTGTGCTGTGGGAGGATTTAAAATTAAGAGGGATAATTTGTGCCCAATATTTTTCCAGTTAAGTGGTGACCATTGGGTTTCACGCTCCATGGGGTCAGCCAATCATCTTGAAAGATACTCTTCTTCCAACTCTATCGGGAATTTTTTTTCTCTTTTTTTCTTTTTTGT